GGGGATTGGGTGGAGAGTCCTGGGGAAATACCTTGGCTGATAATCTATTTCCAGTTATATTTCATACGGACAGGCTGTCGGTGACACTCCCCTGTCAGGGATTTGCCAGGACGCCCCGTTGCCAGGCTGCAGCCACTTAAGAGTAGACCGGTTTAAGCCGCTCCTCGACAGCAGCAGTATTTATGCTCCTCCCCGGAGACCCACAAACTCGGAGACGGCACTGAGCCGCTGAGTGCATATAATTTCGTTGGCTTTGGCTTTCACAAGTTTTGCAATTAGAACTGCAGCAAAGTGGCCAAGTGGTTGCTACCAAAAGTGGCGCCACTTGAAGTGGACTTGCTTTGGACCGCAAGTACCGAGTGGTTGACTGGGTGGGCAGACTTGGCTGGGCTGGGCTGGGAGGAGCCCGGCACTTGTTGTGCCTTTTAACATGTTGATATTGTTCTGGGGAGCCCGTTCCATTGGCCCATTCCCTTTGAAGCCCGTCGGTATTCTGCGTAATTTTCGTTTGTGGCTCGTACCGCTGTCAGATGACAAAACTTGACTGCTTCTGATGTCCCCTGTGCTGCATGGAGTCTGTTTTGTGTGTCGGTAAAGTTCGCATGATTGTGTCAGGCTCTGTGTTTTCTGTTGTCATCCCGGCCCTGGCAATAGCAACAGGCAACAGGACAGCACACAGGACACCATGACAGCTGGGATAGAGGCTGCACTGGGGATCTATTGTGGCCCCAGTGTCCCTGACGGGTGTTGCTACACATCCTTTACAGGGCAAAACTTTTCGATGACATCAACCGGATTTCGATTCAGGCCAAAAGGTGAAAGGATAATAGCTGCACCACAAATGTTTCTAGCGAAATGTATCTCTCAAAGACGGCTTATTTTTTAAAATTTTCAAGGGCGTATGCCATTTGTTTTTCCATTTCCCCGAAGCAGCCGCCAAAACTTGAGACAAGAACGAGAAAAACATTTTCCATTTGCATTGTTTCTGTCCGGCTGATGTGCCCCAGTTTGTTGTTCATGTGCGTGCCGCATATATTTCGCTTTCAGACGAATAATAAGAAAAGTTGCCGGCCATTGGCCTGCGGGCCAAGATGCCAGATTCCAGTTAAATGAGAATCCCACTCACAAAAACACAAAATAAAAGGGAAATCGTGTGGTATGGGGGGGTATGTGAATCAATTCGGTGGCACAGAAGTATGTCAGAAAAGCAAAAACACACACAAAAGATACATAAACCAAAAACAGTGAAAAAATACAGCTGTGACGGGTGGAAATGTTACGCATACGCACCGTTGGCTGGCCAAATCGCATTACGCATGGTCTGCATTCGGTGGCAACAACCTTTATGCAGGAAAAAGGTCAAGCCAGCTTAATTACAATCCCCCAGCCGACCACCCATTGATTCGGTCCATCGCCAGGACATCTCAATTATGCCCGGGCTGACCAGGATTGGATCCGGCATAGCATGTCCTGGATTTTCATAAAACCATTTGCATGCTACTGCCTTTGCCATTGCCGGTGCAACTACGTGACTTGACTTGATGTGCGACACTTTGACACTTGAATAGAACTTGGGGAAATGCAGTACAGGATGCCTTCGCATTTTGCCTTTTGTGGCCATGTCCTGGCTCCTGAGCCAATTAAGAGGAACAATGCCCGGTTAGGGCAGCCTCAAACGTCGCCACGTGTTGCTGAGGCATAAACAATTTATGAACAAATTTTCCCCCGAAAAAAAAATCGAATAAATATAAAGGCAGACCATAAAAGAGCCGCATAAACACACGCCAGAAATAATAAACTTTTTTTGTTCGCTTTTTAAATCACATTCTGGGGGATTTTCACTTACAATTTTTCGCTGATCATCATGGGAAGCCAAGCAAGCAAGCCAGGCAAGCCGAGGCAGTCCAGAAAATACAAAATAAAAACCAGAGACGTTTATTGCGTATTTTTAGGTCAGAGCAAGCAGTGAGGATTCAATATGCTACCGATTGAAGCATCTCCTCCTTACCTCGCTGCATGTTTACCCAACTGGTGTGCTCTGTTTGCCTTTAATCGCATCTGCAATGAGTTTTTCGACTTTGATGAGTTTGCTCGACGCCTCCGGCCAGCAACCGAATTTCCATATCAATTAGCAGCACTGGCCCCGATCGAATATTTCCGGGTGTTTGCGCAGCTCCACGATTAAAGTTAAGTATCTGTATTCCTACTCCTAAGCCAACATATCTGGCTCCTTGCGACTTTCTAATCAAATCCGATTTTCCGCGGCACTTTATGAGTTTGCCCGCCATTCGGCAACTGTTCTGCAAAAGCGACGAAGGACCTGCTAGCCTCAGTCGGCGTGGTCGTGGGTGTGGGTACCTGCCACACTTGGCTGACCACATCATCTTGCCCTGGGCTCCGGGCAGGACCTGAAATTGCATTCGCCCCGCTGCCGATAAGTTGCTAATGAGTGGTAATCGACGTTCTTACATGTGACCCCTTTTTGCGGCCACTCTGTCTCTGGTCTCTGGTGCTCTTGAAATTCAATTTTCCTTTGGTCAGAGTGCATCGAGCGGGGTGCACACACACAGGTGTACACTGTACAGTAGTGAATGTGGCACAGGTGCGCTGAGGTGAGAACTGTCAGGACTTGCATATAATTATTTAAATTATCAATGGACAGAGCTATGGGGCCATGAATAATGCACAAACACATTTGGCTTAATGAAAAGCGTCATATTTAATATTGCTAATAGCAGGCAGCGCTGAAAGGGGTTCCCCTCGACCAGTAGTGGGCCATGGATCCAGTGACCCTGGCACCGTTCGGGCTTTCTTCACCTGAATTTTGATGGTTGCCCACTCTCTGGCCAAATCCAATTAAATAAAGCCGCCACCAGCACAAATGTTGCTGTAAAGCAGCCATAGTTTCTGGCCAAAAGAGTTTTATTATATAAATGAAAAAAAAAACCTTTCGCTTCCACCAAATTGAATTTATCGTATCTAAAAATACAATTTCAAATCCAAAGCATAAAATCCATTCGACAGCCTGTAGATTCACAAAAACTGCCATGACTGTGAAAAATAAAAGGTGTCTTCAAAAGAAATACAAACTAAAAATAAAAAAATACTCGAAAACCAATTAAGAGTGCTCTCTGCGTAGAAAAATATTAAAATGGAATATTTAATGGCAGTTCCATCAGTAATTCGGCATAAATGCGTAAAGAGACCAGATAGCATATGGGGTTAGCACAAAAATACTTATTTCGCAGCTTATTCATATTTATGATGGGTTGGCTGCCAATTTTGTTTTCCCATTTGCTTGTTTTCGATGCTCATTTATTCCTCTGCCACTTGTGGCTCACTTCATCCGCCCTTTCTACCTTTTTTATTGTCATTACTCTTTTTTTTGCAACAAATTGAGGGTTATTCCCCCAACAAACTTACAATTTCCGCTGGCTATTCACACAATTTTCGGAATCGAGTTTTTGTAGGGTTTTTGTTTTGCTGTTTCAGTTTTTATGTGGCTGGGTCCTGACCCGATATTTTCAGCTCCAGCGAGCAGGCTCAGCAAGCCGATTGCCTTTACGGTTCTGACCAAGTGCTGCTATCTGCCCGACCGTGTGTGTGTGTGGGTGCTTTCCGACCAAAAATAGAAGGCTCTCGCCAGTTAGCATACTTTTATGGGCTGCACGAATGCAACAGGAAGCAGGAAATGTGTTTCGGCAAATTTATTTCAGTTTATTCGCATCGGCCTTTGACCTCTGGAATGGATTATCCTGGCATGGCAATGTTGCCAGCACCGCAAAATCGTTGGCCCAAAATATGCAAACTGTTTGGTCAATTATTATTTAAAAATTCAATTATCCCATTCGACATTTGAGGAATTTTCAATTACATTTGCTGGAAATAAAAATGCAAACTCTATAAAATCAATTTTTATGGCTTATAGCCTGAATACGTATTTTCTGTTTTTGATTCTTCAATCGAGTTTTATATCCTCTTATCTGGGCTTGTAATTGTATGAATTTTTGGTTTTGATAAATAACCTGCTTCTGGGAAAGAGTTCTTTAGTAATTTCCACCAATGACGTCAAAATGGGGGTAAAGTCAATAGGTAGTCACAAGATAAACTTTATTTGTCTCAATCGTGACGAATTTTTCCATTTCAAGAATACTTGGTAGTCTGACTAATTTCCTTATCGGTTCAGAGAACACTCCAAGAGATTCTAGAAACAGAATACTGACAGGCAGCAGCTGTTCAAAGTGCCATTTCTCATTTATATTGAGTTGAAACGCCGTGTACTCGATTCAGTTCAATTCAAACGAGCCAAGTGAAAAGAATACTTCGGAAAAACATTTCATTTCGATTTACGACAATCGGTTAGTTCAAAGTTGTGGCAATTGTGTGTGCATTAGAATATGAAAAAGCTCAAAGTACTTAGCCATTGTTTTTGGTGCTGGGGGGTGTGGGGCAAGTTTTTTTACGCTCTGAAAGACCTCCGCCACAGTGGGTTATGGCTGAGAACTTTCAACCTAACTGGGGACCAAAAAATAAAATAAAGTACAACGAAAAAAAAACATAAATAAAATAAGTAAAGAATAAAGCCGAGAGCCCAGAGCCGAAAGCCAGAGAAAGTAATTCAAAAGTTTACCGCAGAGCCAAACATGCAACAAAAGCCAAGAAAAATTGAACTCAACTTGATGTCTAATTTAAAACAAACCTCAAAGCCAAGCCCAAGCAAACTGAACCGAGCCAGACCAGCATCTGATCCCGATCCTTATCCCAATCCTTATCCTTGTGCCGATTGGGGGGGCTGGGAGGTCGGGGAGGTCAGCAGCCGACAAAACAAACCGCAACAAAATTTACAACTTTTAAACTTTTCCAACGTGGTTGTGCGATGCTCCCTTTCTTCCTCCTTTTTCGTGATTTGTTTTTTCCGGCTGGGTCAAGTACATAATTGAGATTGAACTGAAAAATAAAAGTTGAACTAATGCACATTCTTTGCTCTCTGCCAATTGCAGACCCGCCCCGACAAGCTGAAGGAGATGAATCGAAGTGCGCTGCCCTGTGGCAGCATTTTCTTGGCCCTACTACTGTGTGTGAGTGCGGTCGGTGTCCTGGCCACAGGACATCCTGCCGCTGAGGACGACAGTGACTTGGCCCTCATTCCACCGGATGCCGACAATGTGGAGGTAAGTGGATGCCGAAGGAAATCCAATCTATTTGCTTAAATTCCTTTCGACTAATCCCCCAGATCCATGAAGTCAAGTTGGTGGATGGCGCCTTCCAGGAGGATCATCCGGTGATCATGTACAAAGAGGATTTTGTTACCGAAGATAAGGGTAAGTGAGATATATAAATTTCAAGTTTAAAGAGTCCTATTTTAATGTCTCCCATTTAAGACGCTAATGCTGGTGCCCATCATAAAAAGCACCACAAGGCTCACAGGCATGCAGAGCCTGCCAAGTCGGAGGAGAAGAAGATCTACTTCGATATTCTGTCCGACGAACCGATTGTACTCAACTCTGACCTGAAGACGGGTCCTGTGAGCAATCAGGATGCCATCCAGCTAGTGAAGCCCGTCAAAGAGGAATGGCTGATGAAGTATCCCAAGAAGTACCAGAGTCACAGTCGCCAGCGCAGACAGGCCTACTTGCCGAGCATTTACTACAACCATCCCTATGCCCAGAACAACCTTCCACCTCTCTTCTATTTGTCACGGTAGGATGCCTTTTGTGAAACTGGATTGTTAAGTCCTTTTGAGAAACTTGACCTATAATTTTAGCCTACCGGTGGCGGGCAAGAAGCCCATTTATCTCGGCAAGAACCCTAATTGGTCGAAAAAGGAAGATCGCCAGCCAGTGAGCGTGGGCAGTCGGGATGACTTCCTGTTCCACAACTCTGATCCCTCCCAGGCCGATTTCTCGGTTTTCAATCAGACCAGACCCACTGCTCCTCCACCCACTCCTTCTTTCCAAGGCGGCTTTGGAGGCAGCTCTTCCGGTAGTAACTCAGTCAATGGTAAGTCAGTCTCTATTCCTCTAAAACTATTTTATTCACAGTTGTCTCTCCTTCAGATCGACCCTCGCGTCCCACATGGATGACCAGTGCACCCCCAAGTATGTTTTTAGTTTCTTGAAGCTTCTTGTGACATTTCTTAGTTGTGATTAACCCCCTGGTTGCGGTTTGCTTAACTTTAAGGGCTTGTTCTATCGCTATCTGTACCATAACTATTTGTGATGTATTTAATATAGGTCGCCAGCCGAGTAGGCCAGTGGTGGGTCTGCCGACCCTGAGACCGCAGTCAGCCACCAGCGCACCGAAGGTCACCAGCTGTGTGTGGGCCATCGTAAACTGCTGCACCAGCGAAAGCAAGAAGATCCGGTACAGCTGCTTTGAGGAGTTCGGCTGCCACGGCGCCTTCTGGGATATCAATCCCTGCGCCGACCAGGCTGTGCTTGACGGTGCGTTGTCCAAAGTGCTGGACGCATTCCCTCCACAGGGTTAATTTATTTTACACTTTCGTCTAGATCTTAACTTTTGTAAATAAAGAAATATAATCCGTGTAGTTCTCTTTGTTGTACGCTTAGCTGTGGCACTTGGTAATAACAAAATATATTTATAAAACCATAGTACTAACGCCCTGTGATTATTGGCAAATAAAACTAGACCTAATGCTAACATGATTGTTCTCAAATTACTCTGCCTCGCTCATCAATTCATTCATCAACACATCGAGTTCATGACATCGAAAACCCAATTAAGAACTTTGCAATGTGCTCTGCGACTTGAATATGTTTGCTTAATTGGCTGCCATTCGATTGTCCAGTCATGTAATCCGGCCTCAATTCAATTGCAATTACACAATCCCTTCAGCCATATCAATTAACTGGCAGAGTCCTGCGACCCACTGATGGGTTATCTTTTAATTGGCCATCTATTACAGGCCGCAGAGCTCAATTCACACCTGCGACTGCAATTGCAGGACGTTGGGCGCAGGACTAGCCGATATCATTACTATGTCTCCGATGTGTACACAGCGAGAAAGTATATTTAGTATCATCCGAGTATTTAGACAGTACTACTACATATCCTTTAGCACCATGTAGCCCCAACTGCTTGTGTGCATTAAAGCGCCAAACCCGGCCCTATTGTGCATTAATTGCGGCCCAAAACAGACCCATTCAATTGGCGAAAACAAGCTCTTACATAACCGAGGCACAGCCATGCCTAACATAACCCCGCATTACCAACAAACCCCGAATAACAAGCATCACAACACTCGCACCAGCACTTGCACATTGCACGATGGTTTACATGCTGACGCCTCTTAATTGCAGCCGAAGGTATTCTGGAGGAGACCTACCCAGCAGCCGCCTCCGTGCCGTTCCCCTCTGCCGCCGCCGCCTCCCGGCCGGCCGCACCGGCCCGGCCATCATTCAGACAAGGTGGGGTTAACCGCACTAGCCTGACAGTACCCCCCTTTTAACCCGTTCTTGTCGTATCCTTGCAGACACCTTCCAGTATCCCCAGGAGTATGGTTACCAGGCGGGCAGCAAGTGCTATCGTGCCTCGCAGCTCTGCTGCAAGCTGAGGAACCTGGCCTCCACCTACGACTGTTTCCAGTACCATGGATGCGATCAGAGCCTCTCGAACATCATATCCGGCTGCTCATGAACGGGGCTGAAGTTTAAGTGAACTCATTGAAGTCTGCCTCGCGGTTTATGTTTAGTATTTAGGGGGAAGCCCCATTTAATTTTCACGAATTAATGTCTATGTTTCGAAAAACATATCTAGTCAGTTGGATATCGTTCGCGGCTTGCAACAATGGCTGGTGCCAAGGCAGTCCATTTTTTGATAAACGGAAATAATAAATTATTCATCAACTTTTTTGGTTATAACAAAAAGCTTTTTATTTTGATGGCTAGATGGTTTTTAGATTGAAAATGTTTTCCAATAAACCTTAATTGATTGGAATTTTATTCAATTTTCAGAAAAAGTTAATTGCTAGCCTAGATGTGGAAACTTTTAATTTTTATTTTAACTAACTTTTCATAATTAGCGGAAAGCGTTGATTGTTTTCTTTTAATTTTCCATCCCATTCCCTGTGCCAGTAACTAATTTCCTAACAATTGATTGTTCCAATTGAAGCTCTTCACTTTTATTACTTTATTTCTTATTCACTTGGGACTAAAGGACCTTCTGAAGGAGAGTCTACCCCTCCACCCTCCACCCAGTTAACACCTCTCAGACCTCAGAAAATAGTCTTAGGCAGGACAACGACAGCTTGACAACAAATCTCCGCTGAGTTAATTTGCCAGCCTAATGTCATTTCCCGTGGTATTCAGGGACCCAATCACAGAACGTAAGGCGATTACGGCTTGCCACGCCCACCTCGCAACAACACACCCACACACCACTCATCCAACCACCCACCGCCCTTTTATTTTCTGAAATTGTCTTCGATTCAATGGATCTGTTTTCTGGTCTTTAAGTATTTTTCAGTATGAGGATTTCAATGGAAGGATAAATGAACTTAAAATTGAGAAAACTTCTACTTGAGTGCTTTTTTCTCCAAGTGTAATGAGTACTCACCGCTGCCGCTGTCGTAGGATCTGGTGGTGGAACCACTCGTGTTGGAGCGCTTTATCTCGCGTCGACCCATGGTACCTGTGGTGTCCTTTACCTCCTCCTCCTGAGGCTTCTGCTGCCTCGATTTGGGGGATTCTCTGGACACGTGGCACGTGGCTAGTAGAGCACAGGCTGTGGAAGCCGCCGCTTTGGCAACTGCCGAGGTGTAGTCGCCACCGACAGTGGTGCCTCCGGGTCGGTGTTGGAGCTGGTGCTGGTACTGGTACTGGTGGTGGTGGGTGGTCAACGACGGTGTGGAGGCTGTGGTGCGACCGCTGTTGGCCAACAACGCCTGACCAGGAGCGGTGGGCGGGAACTCGAAGTAGTTGACCTGCAGCTGATTACCGAGCAAATTGATGGCCGGTTTTGTGGCCAAACTGCTCGAGTTATCCGCGTGGCTGGTGTGACTGGAGCTGCTGCTGCGCCTGTGTTGGTGGTGGTGCTGATGCTGATGCGGATATGGGTGCTGGTGCGGATGCTGGGAGTGTGGCGGAGTGCTGCTGCCGGCGGCGGCTGTGGCGGAGTGCACCTGATGCGGAGTGGGCGGCGGCGGGGGGCAGGCGTTGTTGATGCTGCTGCTGCTGGTGGAGGATGATTTGCGCAGTGATGATGGTCTTAACCCTTTGACAGGGTACAATGGGTACTATCGTCCGGCAACGCGTACCCAATCGCGGTGGTCACTGTTGTACCAAATGCCTGAAAAATAATACAACCAAACATACATTTTATTTTTATAATTCAATGGAAAAATATATTAAAACTATATAAAAATATCTTAATAGAGAATCCATCTACAAGTCGTTTAAGGCATTTCGCCTTATTTCCTGATCAGGTACAAAACCCACAATTTTTTGCGTTACCCCTTGGAAAAAATTCGAAATTAGATTCAAATTCGATCTAAAAAATATTTTGTCTCAGGAATTTCATGCAGAATTGTGGCAAATCGGTCCAGAAATCGTTTAAGGTATTCCGCTTTAGAATCGGATGAGAATTGGGGCAGATATAGGCATCCCTGTGGACCCTATAGGGGAAACCCTCATTTTCAAGGAATCTTATCACGAAAAATGGACAAAAAATCTCAAAAATATTTTGTCTCAGAATTTTGATGCAGAATTGTGGCAAATCGGTCCAGAAATCGTTTAAGGTATTCCGCTTTAGAATCGGATGAGAATTGGGGAACATATAGCCATTACTGTGGACCCTATAGGGGAAACCCTCATTTTCAAGGGATCCCATCACGAAAAATGGATAAAAAATCTAAAAAATATTTTGTCTCACGATTTTGATGCAAAATGGTGGCAAATCGATCCAGAAATCGTTTAAAGTATTCCGCTTGAGAATCGGATGAGAATTGGAAAAGATATAGCCATCACTGTGGACCCTATAGGGGAAACCCTCATTTTCAAGGGATCTTATCACGAAAAGTGGACAAAAAACCTCAAAAATATTTTGTCTCAGGGTCTTGATGCAGAATTGTGGCAAATCGGTCCAGAAATCGTTTAAGGTATTCCGCTTGAGAATCGGATGAGAATTGGGGAACATATAGCCATTACTGTGGACCCTATAGGGGAAACCCTCATTTTCAAGGGATCCCATCACGAAAAATGGATAAAAAATCTAAAAAATATTTTGTCTCACGATTTTGATGCAAAATGGTGGCAAATCGATCCAGAAATCGTTTAAAGTATTCCGCTTGAGAATCGGATGAGAATTGGGGAAGATATAGCCATCACTGTGGACCCTATAGGGGAAACCCTCATTTTCAAGGGATCTTATCACGAAAAATGGACAAAAAACCTCAAAAATATTTTGTCTCAGGGTCTTGATGCAGAATTGTGGCAAATCGGTCCAGAAATCGTTTAAGGTATTCCGCTTGAGAATCGGATGAGAATTGGGGAAGATATATATATATTCACCATTTACCATAAGTTACTCCTCTTTGAGATTAAATCAATAGTGGCAATACGGTAGACCGTGTCTTTTGCAGCGCTTAATACTTTTTTACCAAATTTATATACAAAACAAAGGTATTTTTAATCGTAAATTAAAAATTAATGCAACCACAATTTATCATGGCGGATGCCGTCCGTTTCCCTTATGAATAACCACGAAAATTGAGGACAACTGGCGGCGTAATCGTTATTGTCGCCCATCGATAAACGGACATTAACTGCAGGCAGGACACACTGCCACGGACACGCAGACACACGCACTCACACACCCTTACGCACACGGATTAAGGACAAAGTGCACTTAAAGCCAACTCCAGGACCGACGCGTGTCCTGCATGACAACGCAGATTGCGCATACGCCCCGTTAATGTCCGCCATTAGTAGCGCCATTTGGGGCAGCAGTGCCCAGCATAGTCGGCGTCAATTTTGGCAAATATTTGGCACATGAAATCATTTTGCGCTAATAAAATTTTACGCCCCCTTGGGCTGTCCATTGATTTCCTGTAAAATGCCAAACGACCACAGAAACTGACCACACACTCGCCGGAGCAGAACGGACCTTGGGAGGGAGAAAAGTGGAGTGTCCGGCCACAATAACCGCATAGTAATCGCCCGTAATGGTTCGCCGTTAAGATTTACAGAGAATGCCCATTAATATCTATGTTCCGATTCAAGGATTAGGCGGAGCTCGGCCATCAAAATTGATTAAGTCGCCGCGACAGTTGAAAATTTAATGAGGCGCATGCATGACTGACTTTTTTCCAAGAAAAACTAATTAGGCCGGCACAATCACAAGAAATCATAAGACAATCCAATCAACTTCGAATAAATTTTGCAGAAGTAGTTATTTTCTCAGAGAATTGCATGCTCGATGCCCTCGCAAATCAGAGAATGCAATAAAAGCCACGATGGGACAGCGGCACTAGCAATCAATGCATATTGAATTAGGTTGCAGATATATAGGAGAAATCTGCTCACCAGTTGCCAGGATACCGCTCAACAGGTGCTTCTTTGCCAGCTGAAGGTAAAATCAATTGATTAACTGGGGAGCTTCAAATCGAATCAGCGACAGTTCATGTGAGAAAGCCCTTGACTCGCTACTGAGTTTTGAGCGGTGGAGGGGGCATCTAGCTGGGTGTGGCATGCAAATAAAATTGCAGCTGCAATAAACTGGTTTGAGACACTATTAAATTATGGCCTGCATGCTGGGGTCCCAGGTGGCAAATCAGCAGACGGCAAATAAGGAAGATGCCCGCACAAAGGCCGCGCTTCTCGGGCCAAATGCAATTTAATTTAATGGAATTCCTTGCCATCCCAGGCAGGAGCTGGCAGAACACCATCCCGGGGCCCGGGACCCGGCACTCTCCATCGGTCAGCATCAGCTGGATGGATTCAATGTCGATGGTTTTCAGCGCCAACACAAAGCATAAAAGTCCTGTCATCAGTCCTGTGTTCTGTTTTCAAAGAGAATCGCCAAAGCCTCACATCGATTTAAGTTTTCTTTCAAACTACTTTTCCGTATTAATTTGTGGACTGTTTTATAAATAAGCTGTATTTATTTTCCCTTTTAAAAGGATTAAACATATAATATGCAATGTGAGAGGAAAATTGAGCTGCAAAGGTTTTTGCATTCCGAGTGGAAAACTCTTTCGCTCGCATGTGGCATGTAATCGGTCTCGATACGAATTACCATAATACGACACCAGAAAAGGACACATGAAAGGCAGCCAGGGCACAGGATACACGCTCAGAAGGATATCCCTGCCAGTTGGAATGAATCTCGGTTTCTGGCCAACTGAAGCGTAGACAAGGAGCTGTTTCAGATTTTTCTCCGTTTTCTGTTTTTCTGTTTTTTGCGTTAGTGGTCTTTTTTTTGTATTTTTCTTGGCATCGCAGCACGGGGATTAAAGCGTCAAATTGTTAGACAAGTTCTTGGCCCCTACTTTTGTGCCGAGAACGCCCAGATAGATCAAAGCCCGCTGCATATATGCATACTACGGTTGTGTACTCGCCCTTCTGGCATTCTCCGGATACGAGTCCGTCCGCATAAGGACTAAGGACGTGTGTGTATTGTGCACTGACGTGGCTTAAGCCCACGGTCCTGACAATGCCTTTTAATCAATTCCCCGAGTCGTTCCATCAATAAACGACAAGCAGGCCGGATGATGTGAGTTCCTATTCGGAATTTTTCTAGCTCTGGCTCTTCCTTTTGTCAGGATGTGCGGAGATGTCAATTTTTCTAATGAGTTGGCAGAAATAAATACCTCCAGCTCGGACTCCATTTTAAAAGACCAACACCTGGCTGACCAGAAAACACACCCATGCAGTAAGGGAGTCCTGCGAGTTCATAATCACAAGCAGACGCCCACCTGCGAAAATGGAATTTAATTTGCTAATACGCTCCGCTGAGTGGGGAGCCGTCAGAGGGGCAGTTAGGGAGGCAGGTGGGGCTATGTGCCACCTCGGGTAGGTAGTCAGGTGAGACAGGCTGACTATGATGGGTTTTTGGGACGCCGGCTTTTTGCAGGGCCTGCGGCTAAAAATTGTTGAAAATACTTTGCAAATCGTTTCTCCAGCTCCCAGCCTCCAGCCAAAAATGTACCGTGCCACTCCTCCACCCTTTATCGCCAGACTTTAGTCATTCTCGGCTAAAACTTGGCTTTCACATAGTTGAGTTGGCAGTACGGCTCTGGATCTGGCTCGGGCTCTGGTCTGGGCACTCACATAGTTAAGCCAATGTAAACTTTTTTAATTTGCAATAATAATAAAAAATTCCGTTTTTCGTCTGAGAGTAGGGACGAGGCGGGCAGACTGCCAAAGAATTTTCAAAGCCAGGTCCTGTCCCAGAACCAAATAATTCAACAAGTTTTATGCCATCCAGCCACCATCGCCATCATCGCCATCGTGCTGTCATCGTGCTCGTCGGGCTTCAAAATATTTGTGGTTGCCTGTTTGTGTTTTACGGCAGCTCGCACACATGAGGCACAGCTCCTGGCGGGAAGAGGGCCCTGGCTGAATGTCCCAGCTTAATCCCCGACGAGTCGCGCAGTTTAAAAACCCATTTTGATTTATGCGCCCGAGTTGCTCCGACCGGGAGTGTCCTGGAGTGGCTGAGATATTCAGACACCTGTTTGAAAATTTGTTCAACTCGCAGCGAACTAGAAAAGGATGCTCGGCCGAACTATGACTACAGAGAATCGAATCAATAAAAGCCCCGACCCAATCGACTGCAAGGCAAGGCCATCCATCCCGATTTCAATGAAAGTTATTCGACCCGAAGTGAAAATGGGAAAACTTGGCTGGCGGACTAAGCAAATAGTTGCATCGCCTAAGCCGGGATAGCTTGACCTGGAATCGTTCAATAATCCAGCAAATGCTTCTGACTATTCCATTAGTCCAGTGTCAGCTGGGGGCAATCAACGGGTTTGGCTTTCCGGCTTAAACTTGAGACCTTTAAACTGTCAGAGTCGGATGTCGCAGGCGAAGGGTTCTTATTCGCTTTTGAATAAAATGCAGCTAAGCAAGTCAGCCTCAGGAACTCGAATTATGTTCGAGGAAAGTTTGGCTCCTGAATTTCGGGAATTTTTCATTTAATTTCCCGCCATGTCACTGATGGAGGTAAAAGGGCATGTGCCATAAATTAAAGTAAATTATAGTCCTGATTATAATAGCTCTAAAACGTATCAACTAA